GTTGTCTTTGCTGCTGTTTATTAATTCATGTACGTAGTTACATAAAAATAAGTTAATCGTAATAAAAGTTTTTTTTTTGGTTTTTTTTTTTTTTAATATACATATATATATATATATATATATATATAATAATTAGTAATAATTTTCAATAATAGTCGTCATGATAATAATAATAATAATAATAATAGATCATCAATAATAATAATAATAATAATAATCCATAATAGTAATAAATATATTTTGTAAACGCAATAAAAATTGAAACGAATTATTTTTAGAATATCTTTTTTCATTCGAAAGGATCGTTTTTCATAATTGCTCTTAATATTTTTAATTTTTTTTTTTTTTTTTTTAAATCTACTTTTCATACACAACGTCAATGCTTGTTAATTAATTAAATATATGGCTGTGTGTATATATGTGTGTGTGTGTGTTTTATTATACAATTTTATATTTGAGAATTTTTAATGATATATTCTTGGAGTTGAAATAAAAAAATGTTTTATTATCGCAAATATATGCTTTATTTATTCTCATTTGATTTATGTGACACACATATGTATATATATATATGTATATATATAACCCTTAATAGCTGCTGACTGTTTAAAATGATTTGAATGCTTGTTCAGAGTTCAGAGTTGAGTTTTCCAGTTGAATTAAAAAAAAAAAAAAATTATTATTGAAATTATTCTTCTACTGCCTAGATAAAGAAGAAGGTGGGGCTTGTTATCATTTTACTTTTCTATTTTGTAATTATTTTTTTATTAATTTTTTTTTTTTTTTTTTTTTTTTTATGTACACATTGATGATGAAATGTGTTTTTATTTTATGCAAATAATATAAAAATTAACTGAGATATAATTTCAAAAAACCCTGTATAATATATATATATACTTTACGTTATGTGCTTTTTTACTTGTTACAATAAGCGATTGTTTGCAGTTTTTTCCTTTTTTTTTTCAATAATTTTATCTAAAATAAAACATCAACAAAATTATTTTTTTTTTTTTTTGCTAAATTATATAGTTAAAATATATATGTATATGTGTTTTTTAAACTTTGTTTTGTAGTTTTCACACAATTGCTTTAAAACTTTAAAAGCGATGACTAGAAAATCTAAAATTTTTAAACCTGAATTTGATGATAATGATGATGATAATGATATTCCTAAATAGATATAAATATAAATAAATTATAAAAAAAAAATATATATGTATGTATATTTCTTTTTTTTTTAACTCAATCGAATAATTGAGAAAACCAAAATAAATTAAATGTATGACGTTCTATATAGAATTTATAAATAATCCGATATATGTTTGTCAGTTAAATGACAATGCGATCTTTACTCTTTTTTCATCTTCGTCGTGAACTCGATTATGTTGAAAAAAAATAAATAAAATCATAGAATAAATTGTAAGTATGAAATAGTTAATGACTAGACTTGATTCCTTCACTCGTGAAAAGTAAAATAAAAAGATAAAGTTAAAAAAAAAGAATATTTTCCCTTTGGCCGATTATTTAACAAATGTTTTCGTTCATTCGCCAAACAGTGGCCTAGAAATATTGAAAACATACATTTGCAAGATACACATACATACTGGCATTGTATAATTTTCTAGTCCCTATGTATAATATTTTAGTCGAATCGAATGTGCATGTGCATCGCTTTATGCGCCTAAGACTGAGCGTAGTTACTGAGAACATAGTTCGCAAAAAAAAAAAACCCGAAATTGTGGAAAGACAACTTGTGGTTTTTGCATCACGATAAGAAGCCCTCTCACACTGCAGTAGTTCTTGAAGACCATATGTGACTTCTGTCTATTCTCTAACCCAAAAACACTCTTCTGCTAATTCTGTCATGACTCGATGGAAGAGATTCAAGCTGAATTCACGAACGCTTCGAAGACTACCCCGGAAATCGAGCACAACAACTGTATCGAGGATAGGAGAAAACGGCGGCGCAAACGTGAAATTAAGTGAAATTAATTTGGCCTTACTT